GAGAATTTTGCTATAAAATATCCTGCAATTTAATAGTATTTGGTTGTGACTTGCTTCCATGGGCACTATATTATCACGTGATTTAATTTGGTATATACCCTAAGGGGGAGGAGCATATTTCAATTATAAAACATTTCCTCCAGAAACAATAATGGTTCAATGATTTATTTCAGGAAGCTATTATAACATGGTTTATTCAACTGGAATTTGAATGCAATTGAGTTTAAACATTATAGCATAGGTACCCCAAACGCACAAGAAATAACACTGAGTACTTTTGTGCTCACATGCAAAAATCATATTCACATATATTTTCCATCTTTGCCTATTACTTCACTTATTCTATCTCAAGAAAGGAACTTAAGGCAGAAAGGCATGAGACACTTATATTATTATCTCTTCAAAAAGTTCATTTTTGGACAAGTATCATTTGGATGGGGATTAACTTAATCAGAGATTTTGAATCTTCTCGACTTTAATTTTAATCTCTCTATTTTTTTGAAAGTCTGAATCTTTAAAAGACCGAAACCTGTAGTCACAAAGCACTGCTTCAAAAACGGGAAAAAAAAAAGACGAAGAAGGGAAAGTTTTTCAAGCAGCCAGCGGCTGTAAGAGAGATAGTGCAAGCAGCAGATTTGTGGCAGAGTAGAGCATGAAACCCATCAGCTGATGAGTGAAAATCCCTGGTTTCTAATTAATCGAGGTACACAGGCCAAGGGATGAAGAGGATCAGGGAAATGAAATCAGGAAAAAGATAGCATCAGTCATTTCTGCTGCCCATTGTCATACTCCAGAATCTGGTGTAATGAATCACTCAGGCATTCCACAGATACATTCAAATGGTGAAGAAAATTCATTGTCCGGTGAAGAGCGCCTGATAGGAATCTTCCTCCCCCTCTTTGTCAGAAGCCTATGATCAGAAAAGGAAATCCAGACAGCACAACAGGTGTGCTTGTTGCAAGCCTGGTGAAATCTGCAAATGAGCCAACTACAGAAGAATGTTTTTGTCCTGTTTTCCCCCAAAAATGCGTATGGGGAGGGTCGTGGGAGGGAGCAAGGAGGGGTGAGGCTCAGAGCAGCAGAGGAGGGGACCTTTTCCTGCTGCTGGGAAGTGTGTGTTCCTGCAAAACTGAGGGAGGAAAACAAGGGGTGGCCGTGGGACCCCCAGTCATAGTTCACTTCACTGACGTTTACTTTGAAAGCCAATTAGTTCAGTGAAGAAAGCACCGCACTTCTCGTCCTGGGTCTGACCACCAACCGGACACCCAGAATAAGTGAGATGGGTCCCACGGTTTCTGTGGTTCCTGAAGCTTTCCTGAGAGCTGGTCTTACTAAGTCACGGACACATGCCTGAGCCTGAAGGTTTTGTGCAAAGGTTTCCTAATTCAGATCTGCATCCCTGCCCAGGTAGAGCTCACTTCCACGAGAGAAAATATTCATCCTGGCCCTTGGACACAGTATCTGTGTATTAAGACTCAGTGGCAACTCTGTGACCCAAGCCGAGGGAGCAGGTCCGAGTGCCATCCGGCATTAGGTGACATGTGAAGTAATTGTTTGCAAATAATCAGGTACTATACTGAGACGTATAACGACGGCTGATTCATTTTAAATTTAATTACTATAATATAGGGTTTTGCTGTCTATATTATCAATCACCAAGACACTTTGGAGTTGATAGTATTAAAATTGTAACAATAATGAGAATTCTACTTCATGATGAAAATAATTTTAATCATGGGTAGATTACAAATCCATTTACAGTTACGGTTAGTGAGAATTCTATTATCTACCTTCTCTTGTAAAAGATGTTAAGACATGTTTGCAGGGAGTATAAAAGATTACAGAACTGCACTGCATCTATAAAGGTCTGAGCGTGAGCTTTTGGAAAACCTTGAGAAATCTTCCAAATTTTTAAGACTCGGGGAAGAAGTTAGGGTTCTGCTGGGAGGCAGCTGTGGCTATGGGTGGGCACAGATGTTGCTGTCTTTGTGGCTCCTGTTCGCTTTATTCCTTGGGCAAAAACAGATTTTGGGAGCCTTCTATGCAACAGGCCCCAGGCCAGGTGCTGGGACACCGAGCAGAGAACAAGCGACACGGTTCCTGCTCCAGAGCTCTACAGTCCGCGTGGCATCCGAGCCTGCCCTAGGCTGGAGGAGGTTGTGTTTTAAATGAATTTCAAGCCAGCTCATTGGAGGGCAATGAATCATCCTAAGCTGGCTGCACACTGGAATCACCCAAGAAGTTAAAGATCTTTGTTTGTAACTCCACCTCCACCTCCACCTGCACCTCCACCTCCACCTCCACCTCCACTTCTACCTCCATCTTTATCTCAGTTTCCACCTCCATCTCGGTCTCCATCTCTATCTCCATCTCCACTTTTATCTCCATCTCCACCTCTATCTCCATCTCTATCTCCATCTCCATCTCAATCTCTATCTCTGTCTCCATCTCTATCTCCATCTCCATCTCTATCTCCATCTCCGTCTCAATCTCTATCTCCGTCTCCACCTCTATCTCCATCTCCACCTCTATCTCCATCTCCATCTCTAGCTCCATCTCCAGCTCTATCTCCATTTCCATCTCTATCTCCTTCTCCATCTCCATCTCAATCTCAATCTCAATCTCAATCTATATCTCCATCTCCATCTCTAGCTCCATCTCCAGCTCTATCTCCATCTCCATCTCTATCTCCATCTCCAGCTCTATCTCCATCTCCATCTCTATCTCCACCTTGCCTATGTGTATCTCCATCTGTATCTGTATTTCCATTTGTATCTCCATCTCTATCTCCACCTCTACCTCCACCTCCATGTTCACCTCCAGGTCCATCTGTATCTCCATCTCCATTTCCAATTGTATTTGTACCTGTATCTGTATCTGTGTCTGTATCCATATCCATATCCATATCCTTATCCATATCCATAACTGCATTTGTGTACATGTTTTCCCAGGCCCTATTCTCAGAGCTTTGATGTAGGGTGGGTCTCAGGCACAAAGATTTTTATAAAGGTCCCCAGAGAACTTTGTTTTGCAGCCCAAACTAAAAACACTAGATCAGTCAGTGCAAAGGCCTTGGGTTCAATCCACAACAGCAAAACAAAACAAAACCTCAGTGGATCATCTTGGGAGAACAGAATCTGACAGAGCCAGCATTCTGGAAATTAAGCAGAGGATTCTTTCCTTATCTGGTAAGCCTTTGGGAAATTGTTTTCTAGTAGGTGACTGACTTTTGACTGACTGACTGACTCACCAAACTAGCTTTTTATGTTTTTTGTGTAAGAAGTTTCTCAGGAGCCCAAATGCCCAGTAATTTCTCTTGTGATGAATATGTAACTTCATGTAAAACTTTATGACTGCCCTTTCTAACTTTGATTTTATCTTCTTTTCAGTATCAGAAATCACCATTATCATGTTTTGTGCTTTAGTGGTCCAAGCAAGACTACCTTGTTATGTTCAGAGACTGTACCTAGATATAATAACTTGTATCTCAGAATTTCAAATGGATAGGCTTAATTTGCCAGGAATGCACTTAAGAAACATAAACATGGGGGGCTGATACTTTTTAGTTCTTTGTAAATGTCAGGTATCAGTCCTCTACCATGAGTAGCTGGCACAATTTTTTTTCCATTCTGTAGGTTGTCCCTTCACTCTACTGACAGTCCCCTTCACTGTGCGGAAGTTTTAAATTTCGCATAGTTCCATTTGATGATGCTATTTCTTGTGCCATTCGCGTTCCCTTTCCAAGGGGCTTTCTCGTGCCTATGCATTCAAGAGTTTCATCTATTTTCTCTTCCAGCACACCCAGTGTTTCCACCTAAGGTGAATATAAACATTACATGCTGTAAACTTGTACTGATAAAAAAAGAAGCGTAAACAGATACAAATATTACTTGCCAATGAAAATAATTTGTTAAGAATTCTGGGATGGGGGAAGGAGAGAATGAGGACTAGAGACAGCTATAGCGTGATCAGTCGTGAGTTGGTAATTATGAAGCTGAGAAATGCACAAACAGTGGTTTCTCCTACTCTGTTGTGTACTTCTGTATATACTTTGAAATTTTCTACAATAAAAAATATTAAATATCAGCTTGTATCTGCATCCTTTTACAAAAGAAGCTAATGTAGTAAGACCCTGAATGTGTCCGAGGGGACCCAGAGGCGGGAGGAGTAGAATTGGAGTGAGGAAGTGTCCCATTTTCCAGTTGTGGGCCCAGGACGCCGGGAAATCAAGCGACAATCCCGTCGTGCCCAAGGCCTCTTTCTGAATTTGCGCGTTTCTTGGTGTGGTGACACGTACATATTTCTATGTTTCCTTCTCTTTGTATATTTCATTTCTCTAAAGTGCATCTTTCTGCATAGATATACAAACTGGATAGAACATTGCAGTTTTCTCTGTGTTCATGACTGTCCTCTCCCTGTTGGGATTTTCTTTCCAGCTGCCACCTCTCTCGCCCCTAACCCCACCTCCACCTGAGTGTATTTTTCTTATTTTATTTCCTCTCTACTCTCAGGAAGTAATCACAAAGTCTCTCACCACATGTATCTTGATCCCTTTACTCAGTCTTTGTTTTCTGTAGTCACATGTGCTGCAGCACGTGTGTCCATATGCACACATGTGTAAATAATTAGTTGTTTTTCTTTAAAGCCAGTCTATGACCGGCACTGCCACTCACAGCATCCCCACGGCGTGTACACGGCGCCCCACGCTGGCTCCCTGCTTTGGTGGAACTCTATGAATAAATCACATTTCTAGGGTCTGCCAGCTTTCCAATTCCAGTTTGCTGCACTTTGGAACAATATCTTTCCTTCCTATGTTGCATAATTTTTGTCTTTCTGGGGTTATTTTTATCGCTCAGTTTATGTGTCTCACCAGTATTTCTTCAGAAAGAAATGGCCTCTCCCGAGGCCCAAGCTCCTTGAGGCTTATATTGTAATTAGGTCAAATTATTTGGGTGACGAAACAGCCAAGCCTCCTTTCGTTCAGTCGGCAGTATTTTTAATTTGCATGTCTGTTTACACTCTAATTTTCAGAATTGAGAAACACAGGGATACAACTGTAAGATTAAATTTGATTTTCATTATTGCAGTGAACTAGTTTTATTGCAGCGTCTTTGGGCTGAAACACAAAGCTTTGAGCTGTCATACTTTACAGAGGCAACACAGAATTTTTGATTCCGATTTGGAGGCTGAACATCGCAATCCCTAACTGTAGATGCCGAATGTATAAAAGGAGAAGGCGAAGGAAATAGAAATAAGAAGTTGTGAAGAAGGGAAATCAGGTGAGAAGACAGCACAGCAGGTGCAGGGCCACCATTGTAACCCGGTCAGTTTGCAGAAGGAAGGCCTTCGGCCTGGGCTCATTTCAGGCGAAACTGACCACAGTCCACAGGTGATCAGTTCCAAAGCCTCCTCCTGGGCCCGTGCTTCAAATATTTATGATATGTGTACGTATGTTTGCTCGGATTGTGATAAGGGGCGATCTGGGGTTTTTGGAAACGGAGCCCGAGTGTCACCTGAGACCTCGCCTGACTTGGACTTGCTTCTGAAGCCAAGTGCCTCGAGAGGCCACAGGAGAAGGTGAGGGCGAGGGGAGAGCAGGCAGGAGTGGACGGCCGGGGTGCCCGCTCTAATATCCCAGCGCAGTTATTTTGTGGACATCCACTCCTTGCCTGCGTGGGAGATAGGGCTATAAGTGTATGTTATTTTTTAATTACAAGGGGGGTCGGAAAAATCCTGATGATGGGCTGGAAGGTGCCACTGCATTGTTATTTTTTCCTCTCCCTTCGTTTGCTGATTATGTGAGCCGGGCTCCTTTGCTAGCCGATGATAAGCAGAATTTCCATGTTCTCTGCATAATTAATCCATCTCTGCCTCTCCTCATGCCAACTCGCCCGTTATCGCCGGCACATGCCTGAATTGCAAAAGAATCCGCTCTTCAATTGGAACTTATTGATATTCTAAGAAAAAAAAAAGAGAGAAGGGGGAAAAAACTGAAAATCCTTAAGTTTAAGCCGCAGATTTTTAAATGGATTAATTTCGCTGCAATCGCAGCCATCTAAGGGGGAAGCGGGCAGAGCAAATTGAAAGCGTCTCCATGTTTGCAGAATTGGGTCCAGAACGCTGAGACGTACCGGCATGGCTCGCTTTTAAAGTCAGAAAATTACCATTCATTTACATCGCATGAAATACTTTTTTATGCTAGAAATATTCAAGAGACGTTCTTTAAATGCCTGCTAATGCTTGATAACATTTCTAACTTTCAACGTTTTGCGAGACTTTGATATGACATGATAGGAATGCCTTCCAGTAGAATATTATATCTCTGTTTATCACATATTAGATTACATCATCTTTTTCTTCATCACTCCCAAGTAGTCTTTAAACAATGAGGTCTGTCATTGGCTGTGTAGGATTTTATGTGCTGTTGGAAGTCAAGGTTAGTCATTTATTTTTCCAGGCTACCTATGAATGAAATGTTTGTTTCTGTTTAATTTTTCTCCTTCAAATCCCAGAGACCTTGGACAATGATGATAACACTGTACTCATCATCGTAATAATTTCTCAGGAGTCATTCTTTTGGCTATTATCTTAGGATAAATTCTGATGCTTGAGAGACTTGACTCCTCATTTTAACTTGTTAACTGTTACACGTGGAAATCTCCTGACTTAGAAAAGGGTCTGCAGTTGGACTCCTCCTACGAAGCCTGCAGTTCAGGAATCACAAAGAAAGTTCCAGCACAGGATTCTTGTGATTTCCAAGTAGAATTCATAAATCTCGATTAGTTATTAATGCTTCCTTGTTTTGATCTTGAAATAAAATGCACGTTAATTTCCTGACTGGTGGCTCAGAGCCGTGGCCAGGGCCAGGTGTCTCCTTCCCACTCCGGGTGAGCCTTAGCCTGCCCGGTTCCCGGCGGGTGAGATGCTCTGAGCCTACGGCTTCTGCCTGCTCCAGAGGCTGACGTGCTCTCAGCTGGGAGAGCAGAGTGGGGAAGACCCACCAGGAAAGAGGTGGGGATTTGGATATGCAACACCATTCACTGTGAAGTCTTTCCTGCATGTTCTGAATCCAAGAGAGCTTGAAAGGGGAAAACAGTCATAATTTTGAAAATATCAACTTAGTTGGGAGGCACCTTTCCTAGAAACAATAAGACACAAGTGAGCAATGTTATTCTTTGGAGAGATTTGTTTCAGCCACAAAATGAGAATCCTCCTGACTACAAACCACTTCAACACAGCACACCGGCAGCTGAGTGCAAAGATCTGTGCTATTAGTGAGTGCTTTCAGTATGGACAAGCCATGTTTTTCCTCAGAAGTGAGCCAAAATGAATAAAGAGCTAAGAGGCACATTTAAGATGAAAATGTTTTTATAATCAAGGAAAATAATCAAGAGAGTGATGATTACTATAAACAGTAGAACAATTAAATGATACAATTTTAGCTTTATCTTCTATAATTCTTAGGCTACCCAGAGTTTAGAAATAGAGGAAACTGCTAGCTTCACATTGAGTAATTTTGTATAGTCAGCTAAACACTTTAAAGCCATTTTATAAATGAAATGAAAAATGACCCTTCTTAAAATAGATGTAGCAAAAACATTTCAACCATAAATAACAATTTCACTGACCTTGTATGCTCAACCCTTTCATTTAAAGGCATGAATTAAAAGAATTTAAAAATTGAAGGTATATTTGGGGAGGGGAAACTTCTCCAGATTATTTTCTTTTGGAAAGAAAAATTGTGATTTAAAAAACAAATGTGGCTCTGGTATGCATTTAGCTATCATTTCAAACATGCTAAATAAGGCAGTTCTATCAACTGGAAATGTACGTTGTCATAAAAATTACATCCTATTTTTCTGTTCTGAAATCATTACAATATTTTCTATAGGTAATTAATTGTTGCAACTTCATTTAGTCTGACACAATTTTTTCTGTGAAATATGAATTTTGCTGCTTTTACTTCCCTATTCTAAATTCCCTGGGTATTTTACACAAGCGGCAGGTATCACATTCCTAATTATGACCATATGTGCAGATCAGAGGCAGAAGAAGAGTGATGTCCACGGCGTGGAGATGCTCCGTGTCAGATGACAGGCTAAATCAAACAGCGGAGGCTCGCTGCCGAGTGCTGACTGCCAATGCGATATGAATTAGCTATTGCTCTGGAAAACCGAGACACTGACATGGATTCATAAATGATGAACGGACTTATAATAGAAACAATTGAATGGGATTTTTTTCTTTTCTTTTAAATTTAAGGATGAATTGAAAAGTGAAAAATGCTATTACAAAAGATTTTCTTGGTGTCAAAAATTACTAAATAGTTCTGTTCTGTGACAGGAGGAAGGTGAGTGACAGCCCCTTATTTGTGCTGTGGTGATGGATGGGTCCCTTCCCCGTCTCCCTTCTGCATCCCTTCTCTTTGTTACTGGGTGGGACTGAACTACTCGCCACCTCTAAGCTGGCTTTTTGCTCATCAGACGCCACTGTCTTCTGAAAGGTAGGCCTCTGCTCTGCCTGTCCCAGCGGGCATCCATTACCAACTCCATCTTTCCTCGGAGTGGAGGTGGCGTGGACATCTGCAGAGGGCACCTCTGCCTTCCTTTTCTGTGTTCCATCTGCTCCTGTGCTGACTTCACAGGTTTGATCTCACTCAGTCCTGGAGAAAACTCAACCTACAGGAGCACTTTCCCTTCTCCGTGCAGTCCTCTCAGGCCAGGCAGTTCTTGTGATAAGAGAAAGGTTTGAAAAGTTTCCTGCTCAGGCTCTCTGGCGCTATGGCTCCCCAGTCCAACTTTGCCATGGAAAGCGAGACACGGAGAGTCTTCTACTCCCCCTTACTCCATGCTGGGCATTGAAGAGGGCTCAGGTTTCGTGCCTGCCCAAGTCTGTGAAGTGAGCTTGCCTTACCAACAGTTCGTGTCACACCTCCACAGTTTAATTCTAAAGAGCGCATTCCCTTAGCACCCAGCTGTTCTTTCACGCGAAGGTGTTCTCCAGGTCGGTCTCTCTCAGTATCAGCCCGTTATCTGCCATCGTCTTCAGGTGGTGAGGGTTGTATAGGTGTGGTTCTGGCATCAGTAGCTTCCAACAGTTGGGTCACAGTCTCTCCAGAAGCACAAGGCTCTGTCTTAAGAGGAAGTGGAAGGGAAGGCCCATCCCGGGCACCTCAGCGAGAGCAGTACTTAAACTTACTCTCCTCAAAGCCTCCTGAGAAAATGTCCCACAGCTTTCTAGATGTCAACTAGTCTTTAATAGCCAAAGAAATTTAGATGTTTTCTCTAAACTATTAAGGAGGCAGACTAAAGAAAAGGCAGCTGTTGTTCTAATTCTGAATGATCACTTTTCCTTTGTACGACATTAATAATGGGACCTTAATTTACTATTTTTAATATTTAGAACAATAATACCTTCATCAAAGAGTTGTTATGATCATAAACATATGGAAACGCTGAGCACATTTCCTCCAGCTTAGGCAGTGGCAGCACCTTAGCATCCTGGCCTTCCGTTTGGTCAATACTGTACATGAGGCAAATACTAGAAGAGGAAAGAGGGGTGAAGCCAGAGCGTGTGTGTGTGTGTGTGTGTGTGTGTGTGCCCGTGCGTGCTATTGCTTACATGCACCAGGTATTTATTCAAACACTGGATAGAAATGAAAAATTTTCTTCTATTTTTCCTGTTACTTCAAAAAAATTAGCCACTGTAATCTTCTATAATAATCTCTCCATACTTGATGTAAATCTTATAAAAGACAGGATTAGAGAACAAGTAAGCATGCTTAGATGTCGGTGCTCTCCTGTGAGAAAATCTTGAGGATCCTAAACTTTCTGCCTGAGTTCTGTCTTCTGATTTTCAGTTTTTAAATTCTATTGCAGCAGGCTGGTTTAGGGTTGAATTTTGAGAAATGAAAACTGTAATTTTGGAGTAAAGTTGTCCTTCATTTTCTGCCTGAGGTGGTTGCCAGAACCCCTCAAGGTTACCAAACTCTGTGGGTTGTCCCTGCCCTAAAATGGCAGAGTATTTGCGGATAATACACACCTGTCCTCCCAGGAAACCATCTGTGGCTTACTTACAATATCTAACATGATGCAAATACTGTGCAAACCGCTGTTGCACTGTGTTTTCAGTGTGATGATAAGAAGAAAAGTTTGCACATCTTTGGTGCAGACTCAATTTTTCTTCATGTATTTTAAATCTCAGATGCAAAAACCATGAGGGCAGGCTGTATAGGTGAATCATTTATTTGAACTAGATGTATTTTATAAATGTATTTTTGATATCTAGAAAAAGAATTACTAGTAAAAATATTTTAACACATTCAACATAAAAGATGTCTCAACACAGTCAAAACATAAAATGAATTTGTCATTTTATTTCCTAAAATATTGATTTACATTCATTTCAGAAAAGTATTTGCTTAACTTTCCTTTTAAATCAGACAAATGCAGAATTCAGTTTATAGCTTTTCTGTGTTAAATTTTGGATTGAAAAATAAAAATTATATATCCTTATGCTGTAATATTTTGAAATAAGTATATTTTGTGAAGTGGCATGTACCTATAGTTTCAGCACTCAGAGGGGCTGAGGCAGGAGGATTGCAAGTTCAAGCCCAGGCTGGACAACTTAGCAAGACTCTATCAAAAAAAATCAAGCTAAATAAAATACGCAGTGCCTTACTGCACTGCCTTATTTATTTATGTTTTGGTTGTGAGAATGCTTAAAATCTGCTTAGAAATTTTTAATCATAGAGTATGTTGGTAATAACTGTAGTCACCCCGATGTACAATAAGGCTGTTAAACTCATTTCTCCTGTCTAACCGAAATTTGCTCCCTTTTACCAATCTCCCCCCAAACAATACTCTAGCCCCAGGTAACCCCTATTCTCTCAGCTTCTATGAGTTCAACTTTTTGGGTGCCACAAAAGTTGAGAATGCATAGTACTTTTCTTAATGTG